TTCCCTACAGCAAACTCGGTTCTAGACTGCGTTCTTAGAACTGTTCTCAACGTCGTAAGTCTGTGTTCAAGTTGTACCGACAAATCAATATCAGTTCATTTTCAAACTCTACTTTAGTTTGCTTAAGTTTCATTAATCGTGTCTTATTGACATTTTAAGATTAATTCACTTAATTACTTTTCCTATTTTCTTAGTTTAGAGCACTTTTTAATTAATCCAACTAATTAATCTTTCTAATTGATTAGTTAGTTTATCTCACGCTTCCTTATTAATCAAAAGGTTAATTATTCTGGTTACTCAAATCATTATCTTTACTATCTTTACTTAATTAATTAATCATATAGAATTAATTAATTAATTAATTACTTCATTTAATTAAATATTCTTAATTAATTTATTTAGATATCTCAAAATTAACTTAATTTATCTCTGTGGACATTCAACTTCTAATCCTCGTAATTAGTTTGCCTCTCGACTTATTTAGCCCTACGTCTCAACTCCTTAATCTTTTATGGATCGGGTTAGATCGTTCAAGATCTGGGCCTTAACTTCGTTACTAAGAGGGTTACCATCGGCAATCCTAAAGATTCACCTATCCTTAATTTGCGTTATTCGGCTCATTAGGTCTCTTTATCTTAAATGGTTTATGTTAATACATTTTGGGTGAGTTGGAGTGTTCTGACTCCTGTTGATGATTTTACCCTCGGGGGAGAATTACTGTTTTACCTCAAGCGGCTTTGACATTTCTAATCTCACAACCCCACGGAATTTGTTATCCTATACATTCTACCCTAAGGACCGTGAGCCAAAACTCAAAGCTCGGGGTCCGTTTTGACTATTTTACCTTTAGCGATCGAAACGACCGTTTTGCCTCAAACGGTTTTCTAAACAACTAATGAGGTTCAATCATGGCATCCTATATTCTTTACTGACTAAATAAGGTGCCGGAATCCTATTTACAGGTTCACCTATAACTTTTGCTGAAATTACAATTTTACCCCTAACATCGGGAATTTTGACGTTTTTACCCGGCGTTGTTTCTGGACGTTTTCTACCAGTAGATTTATCTCAAGACAAGAATCAAAAGTCTCAACTGGACCTAAGGCTGATTCTAACTACTCGGTCAAAGTTTGGTCAACTTACATTTTGGACGCAATAACTTATTAACGATGCGGAATCTGGAAAACTGTTACTTTTCTCTTCTCATCTAGATCTACAATAATTCCTTCTTTAGATAAGTCTAATATGGTCTCTATCTAGAGAGTCCTTTGTAAATCTACCCGTTTTTACATTTAAAGGGCATTTTCGTCCACGTCTTATCTTTTGAAGGTTTTCGGATCTGAACCAACAAATCAGGTATAAGCAGTCTAAAGGTTGTAATTTTATGCCATGTTAACCATTTTTTATGCCAAGCTTTATATCTCAAGCCATACTAGTTTAAAGTTCAAGTTTTTACAAGACTATTGCTAGTCTACCAACAAGTTAGTGTTTTTCACTTTATTTTCATGTTTCCAACACTTCAAAACCAGATCTAAAGTCCTTAAACACAGCCATCTCAAAATCATAATATCTATTTCACAAGACCATAGAGGCCAAAACCTAAGTAAAACATTTCCTATTTCTCCACTAAATCAACACAACATCCAAGTTGAGTTTCTTGAGTTGTTTACCTTTCGTTGGCGCCTAGATCTTCTCAAAATTTTAGCCCTTTAAAGATCCATAAATTCGAAAATAAGATTAAAACTTTTAAAGGCAAAAATCCTCATAAAACCTTATTTCTTAAAAATCACACAACAAAAACTCTAGATCAAGAGATGGATCTTTTCACCTTGCGTTGTAGACTTGCTCTCTAGCCAAAAATTGCCTTGACTCCTATGGATGTACCCTTTATGAATGAAAAGGACCCAACTTTAGGTTCTAATCCAAACATAAAAATTTCAAGAAGAAGAATTTAGGAAAAATTTGTACAAATCTTACCAAAGCCTCTTGGATTTGTTTCTCAAAACCTTGATCCTAGAGGTGAGCTTGTTCTTGAACTTGGGTGGAAGAAAAATCAAAGGGGGAGAGAGTGGGTTAGGGCCGGTTTTGATCTAGAGGAAGTGGGAGGGAATTTGGCTTGTGAGAAGAGTGAAAAGAGTGAAATTTGAATCTAGCCATGGCTATTTATATACAAAGCTTTGTGAGGGCTTACTAGCAAACAAAATAATTGCCCATATACCCCTTAAGATGGCCAGCCTATAGAATTGGGAAGTGGGAAAAACTTTTGCAAGTTTCTAGGTGCAATTATTATACTTTTTCTAATCCAAAGAACTAAATGTTAAGTATGGTGTATTAAAAGCATGAGATTTAATATAATATTTATTAATTATTTAATAAAAGAGTTTATTTATTATTTTATGTACATATATTTATAAATATTTTATGAATATTTGTGAAAATTCTATAATTATTTATGTGACTTTAAACATTGTATATAAGTGTTATATGTGAGAGGATAATATTTAAGCATAATAATCAAAACAAAGTTCGTAATGAATTTAATTAAAGTTTAAAATTTTTAATTAAAACATTATTAATACATGTCATTCTCATTTAGAATGGAACAGTGTTATCTACACTATTAATATGGTGATATATTGAATGAGTGTATGACGCATAATGAGATTATGTGCAACAGAGACACATACACAACATTAATTTCTGATAATTTTTGTTAAGTATAGAAATTCTAATTGAGTCTACCAATGGTCATGTATAGAATGATCTTAATCATGAGTTCTTAGCAGACTCCTATTTATGGATTTGTGTCTTTTGATTTACTTAGTACGAATTCTGAGATCTTAAATCTTATTCCTTATATTTTAGAGGCATGATGAAGTAGGCAGCCGGAAATGTTATTATACAAGATCGAATCCATGCTGGTTCCCGAATCGAATTCGGGTGCGGAAGCGTGGCGGGGAGTGGCGGATCGTGTATAACAAAAATTTCAGAAAAACTTTTGAGATACTCTATAGATTATATTAATTTATGCACGAATAAATTAATCGCATTAATTTACATCAAGAACTCAATCCGGAAAAATACCTGGAAGCCGACTCGGATGATAACTTGAGATCTTTGACCACGAACAGTCCTTGCTCCAAGTTTGTGTTTAGAATACCAAAGTCTTCCACGTTAATTTCTTGATTCTACGTAGACGTGTGTGTGGGCACACGTGAGACAAAACAGGTTTCTTAAACACTCAAATTTCTACAAACACCAACACATGCACGATGTGGAATTTTTAGAGAAAAATATTTTTGCTCTCTTTTTCTATTGAGAAATTCGGCCACCACTATTTTTAGGGCTGAATAATTGTTTCAAAAATTGTGTCCACAATTTTCTATCATTCTCATATTTAAAGAGTAGAAGTCAAACTTCAAAACAAAATCAAATCCCTATCTCCAATTTTGAATTTTGAACAAAAAATCCCTTCCCCTTATCTCTTAAGTGGCCGGCCACCACATTAGGGTTTCACCCTGTGTGTGGCGCCAACATCATATAGGCAAGGAATATATTTTATCATTTATCCAGTAGTCCAATTTTAATTCAAATTCAAATTCAAATTTAAGTCAAACTTAAATTAATTTGAATTCTAAATTGAACAACTTATCAAATAAGTTTAAATGGATAAATCTAGATGCGTTCAAATTCAAATTTAAATAATCACATTATTTAAATAATAATTAATTCTCAATTAATTATTTTTTGAGTATTTAATTTTAGAATTCCG